TGTTTGGCGGGCCCGGGCTGGGGATTCGAACCCGCCACCTTAGGTGTATGTGGCTGGCGCCTTAGCCGCTTGAGCCACAGGCACCAAGCCGATCCTGTCTTTTCTAAAGGAGAAAAACTAGCCAGGTGTTGTGGTAGGTTGAGTCTCAGCCACTCTAGAGGCTGAGGCCAGGGCAGTCTTAGTCTGGGCTACAGAGCAAGACTCTATCTCAAAAAAAAACAAAAAACTAAACACAAAATTACCATTTGAGCCAGCAATCCAATTCCACTTTTGGGTGTATACTCAAAAGAATTAACAGCAGTGACTTGAACAGATAGTGTATACCAAGTTCATAGCCAAATTATTCCCAGTAGCTAAAATGTAGAAACAACCCAAGTGTCCATTGAGAGATGAATGGATAAACAAAATGTGGTACATACATACGGTGAATATTATTTAGCATTAAAAAAAATTCTGACACGTGCTACCTTAATGAACTGTAACGACATTATGCCTAGTGAAATAAGTCAATAAAAACCAAATAAACAAATAAGCATGGTCCCACTTACACAAGGTCCCTGGAGGAGTCAGCTTCATACAGGCAGGAAGTAAGAGTGGTGGGTACCAGTGGCTGGGGAGAGGTGGGCATGAGTACTTCAATGGGGACAGTTTCAGTTTGGAAAGATGAAAAAGTTATAGAGATGGTGATAGTTGCGCAACAGTATGAATGTACTTAATGCTTCTGTTAACTTAAAAATGGTTTAAATGGTAACATTTATGTGTACTGTACCACAATAAAAATACTACTTAAAGAAAACTGGCTGTTCAAAGCAAAAATAACAACAGTCTATATGGGAGTTTATGGTATATTTGGAAACAAAATTTGTAACGATAGCACTAAGGTTGAAAGAGGGGAAATAAAAGAATGCTATTTTAAGGTTCTTATATACTAGTAGTAGTATAGTACCTCCTGGAAATAGACTAGTAAGTAAAAGATATGCTAATAAATAAAGGCATATTAATAAAAGGTATATACTAATATAAAGATATATTTAAAAGATATAAATTCTAAAGCATCTAGGCAAGGGAGCTACATTCATTCATTTATCCAAAGATACTCTGAATATACATGGTATCCAAGGCTGGGCATGGTGGCTCACGTCTATAATCCTAGCACTCTAAGAGGCCGAGGCAGATGGATTGTCTGAGCTCAAAAGTTTGAGGTCAGCCTGAGCAGAGCTGGCAGAGACCCCGTCTCTACTAAAAATAGAAAAACTGAGGCAAGAAGACTGAGCTTGAGTCCGAGTTGCAGGTTGCTGTGAGCTGTGATGCCACAGCACTCTACCTAAAAGTGACAGCTAGACTGCCTCAAAAAAAAAAAAAAATACACACACACGCACACACACGGTATCTTGGATTGTATCCTGGCAAGAAAAAGAACATTAATGGGAAAACTGGTGAAATGCAAATAAGCCAAACTCTGTAGCTCAGTGGTTACTTCATCAGCCACATAACACCAAGGGTGGCAGGTTCGAACCCAGCTTGGGCCAGCTAAACAACAATGACAACTGCAACAAAAAATAGCCA